AGGTAACCTGAAAAAATATTACAATTACAACTACCTTGGCAGATGTAACCCGCAGATGAAACTGATCATTTCATCAATGACGGAGACAATTGGGACCAACTCAGTTTGACTTGAGAACTAGGCCACAAGTCTAAAAACTCTAAGGATCGGATAACAACTATTGGGAACAGTATAGTTCTGAGTCAGTTATATTGGAATTGCCAAAAAGGGTGTAGTAATTTTGAGGGTCTCTAGGTGTTTGTACCTTTCAAGAATACCCGACATTGCGAGTTATAATCATAAAGATACATATTTATATGATAAATAAATGTAGTCCACAAACACTCAGATGCAGGATATAAATATTGAAGTGACTTGCAAGCTTTAGACATCATCACGCAAAGGAGCAGAGACCTTAATAATATAATCATATTTTATGATTCTATTTTGCTTTACCAAATTTAATTCACACTTAGTAGTCATAAATGAAACAAGTGAACTTGAGCCATCCTAGACATTCTCCATCAACCGAAATGAATCTTGATTGGCCTAGACAATTCTGAAGTCAATCAGATTGTCTCTACCTAACAGTATATTGTTAGATCTCTGCATTACCAAGACTCTCTAGTCTAATCTGTCACCACTTTGCATTCTTTTTTGAGTGCATGGGTTCAATTTACACCTTGAGTGAAGTCATTGATATAACAGTTGGCCTAGATACCTTGGAAGAACTATTCCTAACCAATTCAATCTTCCAACGACCGACTAAGGTGCACTTGCCATCAATCAGTCAAGTGTCATCTCATTAATTCGAGCATTTAGAGATACTTTTTCTGGTATACGAAATTCCTTTGGGGTATACCGACCCAGATCTAGTTCTCATAGAGGAACAATTCCAGAAGCTATACAAAACCTAGTACAGACTAGAATTCGCTTGGAAACCCCTCCTTGACTAGGATACCAGTAATGAATGTTCCGTTAGTAGTAGACTTTCTGCTACTATACCTCTAGCTTGGAGACTCGGAAATTATCTGAAATCTCTATAAGGCTCTCTACCCATCTACCTACCATTTCCTACAGCACAATGCGGCCAGGACACTAAGTGTTCCACTGCCTATCCTACTCAAATGGAAACTTGTAGAAATGCAGGCTTCCTAGCTCATGTACAAGAAACAGAAGCTCACAAATGAGCTAAAAAGATGTCACAATCTCCTTAGCAGATTACTCCAGGGAACCCAATAGATACCGCTGGAGATCACCACTCCACAACTCTCAGTTATTCGTCCTCTTTCCCCCTGGCTCTCTGAAAACCTTTTTGAGGACTGGCAGGCAAGATCTTGATTGCCCCACCCTCCTCTAGGGCCTCCTCTCCTGTTTCAGAATACTCTACACTATGTCCAAACACACATGCAGCAGTCTTAGCAAGACTTGCTGTTTGAGTCAGAATAGTCATAGGTTAAATACAGCAGGATATTTCAACCAGTCTCGATCCTGCCAATATTGCCTTCAAAACTTTGTCAGCTCACTTACAAGCCAATGTGTGAGGGGTGATAGAACTACAGTAAAGATTTCTGGAAGGCCAAAATATACATGACAATAATATAGCCCTTATATTACATCAGTGTACTGTGGTGTAAAGCAAACATCTGAGAAATCCAAGAAAGAATTGACTTAGAAACACCTGCTAAATTGGCAAAACAAGATGCACCATAAGAGCATTATAAGGAGGTAACTACCTAACTACAGCGAGAAGCTCTCGAGCGAGATCTTGCTCTAGAATAAGCATTCTAGAAGTTTAGAACACAACAGACCTAACAGAATTAAGCAATTCCAAACTTTATATCCAATCTAGCCTTCAGACAAGAAAGAGATGCAGACCGCTATGGTGACTTTATCCGCACTTTTCAAAGAGATCAAATACATATATCCGATACCTTATCTCTAGTGCTTGAAAAGCTTAAAGCAATAGACAGTGGACTACCAAGTGGACAGCATGCTATGTTGGAGTGAGTCCCAGAAGAACAGGAAGATGCTGCAGAAAGAGAGAAACCCGAGGAAATCCACAGGCAAAGTAAGGGAAAACAGAGAGAAGCAGAATTCCCAACGCCTATAATACTAGGTGGTGACCGAGATGAGGGGAGTAATGATGGAGATGATTATGGAAATGGAGGACGGTATGGAGGAGGACCATACAGATTCAAAAGGGGATTAACCCTGGAATAACGTGGAACAACTGATATGCTTGCAGAAGAACTGGCCTAAACTATTAAACGACCAGCTGACCCATCCCTATTTTTCAAAACAAAGACCAGTCAATATGTCTACAATTGGTTAATCTAATGTGTTGACTCCTTCGAATGAAATCTGAGGATCAGGGATGATGATCGTGAATGTATCATCTACAACCTGGGGAGAACAAAAGAGGATCAGGTCATTTCGATAGCAGTATGGTATTGGCATGCAATAGACGGCATCTATGGAGAGGAACAATACCCGGAACTGAGTTCATGAACTTTCTTTGAATGCGAGTTTACCAGTCAGTACTCTCCACTCAAAGAAGGACATAAAGTCATATGAGACTTGGAATTAGTTGAGTATAAAAACAACATTCAGATATTTATAGGAAAAATGTATAATCTGAATCTTTAAGCTCCACTGATAGGACCAGTCTGACGAATGGCATACGATAGACAGTTGTTCTCCAAGAATAGATGGTGACTTTTTCTGAACAAATACGATACCGATGGAGAATGGGAAAAAGCAGTCTGAGAAGTAGGAAGGAATAAGGAAGAATAGCAGGAATGGGACCACATAGACCGAGATAAGTCGAAACTTGCAAAAACATTCTCTGACAAAAAACCTGCTGACAAAAATCAACCAAAGGTAAAAAGAGAGTAACCCTTTATACAGAGAGGTGGTTTATCTAAAAAGAGGAAGCGGGAATCAGAATGAGAGAAACCGGGAAAGAGATCTAGCGGAACTATAAAGTCGATATATAAAACTTCATAACAGCCCATGAAAAGATCCCTCAGTCAACAATTGACAAAAGATAGTGGAAAGGCAGTTGTACTCGTTGCGGAAAGAAAAACTACAAGTACAAAACCAGCTGGAGACAAATTCAAGTTAGAACAATGGCAGAAGAGCACCTATTCATGGCACAAACCTTTAGAATAGCGACTATAGTTTGCAATCCCAGTAAAATCTCTACTGTCCAAGTCCCACCAGGCAACAAGCTCTAGGAACTAGATGAAGATGAAGAAATGACTTAGGTCATTGCATTGGTACCAACAAAAATGGTATTCAGGTAGTCTAGAAGAGACATACTCTCTATGAGTCGAAATCGATGGCAAAACAGAGGAACGCAAAGCCAGGGAATCAACCTTGCAATTATGAGCTGCGTGGGAGTGCTCGCATGCTTCTTGCCACAAGGTTAAGGGGATTAATAAACAGTAATGTACACATTGGCAGTGCCTCTATGCTTTACAAGGCAGTATTGTAAGCTTGTCCCTAATGACCTGGTGCATGTCCACTAGCGTAGTCAGGCATGTGACCTGGAAACTAAATGATCTTCAATGAGAACCAAAACCCAGACAGGAAACAGACAGCACCAAGGGTACTGGAGGGAGCGACAGTAGAGCAAAGATAAAGGATCTAGAGTAAAAAGAGAAGCATATCTTCAATCTATATGAGAAATAGGTACAAGAGCTCTAGACCTTACCTTTAGTTCCAGCTTTTAAGGTACCACACTTGTACCGAACAGAACCCAATAAAGGGAGGACACTGTCTACGTTTAAGTGAGAGTGGAGAATACGCCTGACAAGGTTATCAAAGAGACAGCCCACCAGTCCTACTTACCTGGCTTTTGTTTCCATGATATCTGGACCATGGTATGGACCCCCTAGATTGCTTTCTCAGGTAGACAAAGTAGAAGGTATGGGAACTCCTTGGCAGGGAGTAAAGACTACTAGTAGTGGGCTGCCCAATATACCAAAAGAAAACAAGTTGGTCTAAGGAGTCCTAAGTGGTCGAAACTGTGCAGGTGCAGTAACAAACATCCTAGTTGTTATTAAAACCTCAGACATGTCGAAACGAGAGAACCACAACTCAACACCTTACCCCAAGAAATGCGCTTTTAGCGCACCAAAACCTACAAGAGATAACAGTCCTGAGGGATATGCTTATATCCACATTATAAACCCAAACTATCAATACTACAAAATACGAGTACTATTAGATTCAGGATCCAATGTATTCCTAATCAATAAAGAACTTGTAAAGGAACTAAAAATCATGTTTACAAAGAGACCAAATCCGGTTAATATTCAAAGGCATGATGGAGTACAGGCTCTATAGGAAGGAAAGCTTTACACACATTCTATTTGGCTAGAAATAGGATGAAACAAACACATATCTGAAGTTGCATGCGAAATGGTAGCAGCAGAGAATTCTGGGATGATAATCTCTTTTCGGTGTTAACATTCAAAACACTACTTATCCAACATTCCAGAATATATAAAATGGGAATTCAGAGATCCTAAATGCAAATCTTGGGTAGAAGAAGAAGATAAAGGAATCGCAGATATGTGTGAATATGATGAAACAGTTACTTGGTATGAAAATACGATCCAAGTAGGAAGAATTAGAAAACCATAGAAGATCCTAATGAGATCAACTTCAATTCTGTCCCAAGGCACTACTGGGAACGCAAAAAACTATTTCTCCCTCTGACGGCGGCAAAACTAGTACCGAGGAGAATCTTCAACCATGAAATCAAATTAGTCGAAAGAGCAAAACCCTCTTGGAGACCCATTTATCCTCTATTAGACAAACCACTTAGGTCATGATGGAAATACCTAGAAGATATGCGATGACAAGAAAAGATCACAAGAAGCCAATTACCTTTTTTGGCTCTGATTCTCTTTATACCAAAAGCAGATGGAAGATTATAGCTGTTAGTGGATTACCTGAATCTAAATCAGATAACTATACTAAATAAGTATCCACCACTACTAATATCAGAATTACATGATCAGGTAGCAGGAGCTAGTATCTTTTCCAAAATTGATTTGAATGATAGTTACAACCTCATCTGAATCAAGGACCTTAACGGTCTCAACAACCTTTGGCATACGGGTCATACCACCGACGAGGATAACTTCCTGGATATCGGTTGGTTTAAGGCCGGCATCCTTCAAGGCCTTCTTACAGGGATCGATACACTTCTGAATCAAGTCGTTGGCGAGGGTCTCAAATTGTGACCTTGTCATTTTCATATTGATGTGCTTAGGCCCAGCGGCATCGGCAGTAATGAAAGGAAGGTTGATATCGGTCTGAAGGG